CCCAAGAGAGAGTCCACGTTTCCTGCAGCTGGCAAGGCCATGGCAGTGTGGCTGCACCAAGCCCTTGGAAACTCACACGGCTGCATGATGTCCCCCAGATGCTAGATACGGAGCTGTAGGATGTGATGCTTGCCTTGCTCAATTTCAGCTGTGCTTTGATCCAATTCTCTGCTATCTTTCTATTCCTCCTTCTTATGATACAAGTGTTTACTGAATACCATTCTACAATGGGATTACAGAAATTAGTTTTAATTTGTAGTTTCACAGTTAAGAGTATGCCTTGAGTCTTAAAAGTGACTTGAATTTGCAATTTTGTAAAGTGCTGAAACTTTGAGGATTGCTGCATTTACAGTTATATGTGAGGTAGTTGCATTAGGTTGGCAGGGTAATGAACTGCTATTATATTTGTTTGGAGATTAAGAAGGCTTAAGGGGATGGGCTTGAGTGTGAAGTTCACAAGGGGTGAACTGTGACCACTGATTCTGATTGTTAAATTCATTCATTAAGAATGTCCTAGCAGACTAGCAGTGCACACTCCTGGGCGTGTTTTGGAGGGTCTTGGAATCAAAGTCCCTGGTGCTGCCTATGGCACATATAATCCCCTCTCCTCTGGGCTCTCTTCCTGTGCTCCTTTTCCCAACTGCAGTTACCCAGGCAGCTAAGCTCAGCCATGCCCTTCCCCATGATGTTTGTTTGGGGTTAAGCTGATCACAGACAGTGTGAGATAAATCAACCTTTCCTTCTTTGAGCTGTGAGAGTTAGGTACTTTGGCTCATGGTGAGGAAGCTGATTAACATAATATGTAACTCCGTGCATGTCATTTCTTCTCTTGTTGATTTAATCTCTTACTCATTTTCTTGCTATAATGACATATTCACAGATAATGTGTAGAAGCACATTCAAGCATATTTATGGGCTACCTACAACTGTAAAATGATTTAGTTGGGCACAGGGACCACCCTGCGCTATCAATTGGCAGCTTCCAATCATCACCAACAATTCTGCAAATACAGTCTTCGGGACTGCTTTCCCCTCTTGGTTTTCTACAGGGTTAGTGAAGCATGTAGCCTCCCATTTTAGCAGGGAAACCAAGAGGCTTTAACATTTATTGAAATAAGTAAGTAAGATACCAGAGCCAAGGAAAAGACAGGACAATCACTGGGAGAGGAGTGTCGGGCCTGAGAGCACCAGCACCCCACCTGAGGACTCCCTGTAAAAGTGCAGGCTCATATGGCTAGAAAATGCTTAGTATCACTCCGTTCTCTAAGTGTACCAGAAAGTTTCCTGTTTCCTAGAATCAGTTCTGACTACATCATGAGAGTAAAACCTGTGATAATTTTCTGTAATAAAGCATTTCTTGAAGCATGAAGTATCATCAATAAATACAGTGATTGTTTAAGCATAGATGTCCTAAAATAATTAAAACTGTTTATGGCAATTTCCTTCAAACAAAAATATTAGTGTGTATCCTCAGCTACCTTGTTCACCAGATATGGCTCTGCACAAATTCTGGCTCTTCCACAAAGCCAACTGACTAAAACTGGCAAACATCTTGGATGGGTTTCTTACAGGAGGGCAGCCACGTCAGCACAACTACAGACTCTCAAGGTGAAGTACATCCATACTTGCTACAAAATATGGAGGAAAAAAAAACTAAAACAAAACAGCATAAATAGATCCAAGGAAAGTGCAAGAATTAGGAGTGGGATAAATGTCAATGTGTCTTCTAGTGTAACACTTTGTAAGAAAATTTTTCACTTTCACCATGATTTCTTATCACCTCTTTGATGACTTCACAGTACAATGAGTTCCAAATGAGGTTACAACCCAGAATCCTCAGATATTACCCTCACTCCTGCTTATCAGGAAACTATCTTATCTGAGCCACTGGGAAACAGGAGGGAGGACAGTTACAGAGCAGAGGAGCCTCTCTGGCCCCTTTCACCAAAACTACCTAGTGACCTTTAAATCTACTAAATGTTTTCAGCTGGTGGAAACATTGGGTGAGGCAGCTGGGGGAGCTAGCCACATACTCCTCCCTTCCTGAGTAGTTTATATTATGGCTCTCAGCACTATGCAAGGCCAAGTGTGTTCCTGCTGACAGTAATAAACTGCAGCATCTTCAGGCTCCAGACTACTGATGGTGAGAGCGGAATCCATTCCAGTCCCTCTGCCACTGAACCTCTATCAGACCCCAGATTGTAAACTGGCTACCCTACACATCTGAGTGTAGGAGCTTGCCCGATTTTTGCTGATACTATGATGACTGACTGCTGATGCTGGGACTGGCTGGACAACTGATGGAGATTCTGTTTACTAAAGATACAGACATAAAGGATAGAGACTGGGTCATCCAGATATCACATCTGGTACTCAACATGGAAAGTATAAAACATTTACACATAATTAACAATGAAATACATCACTTCCC